TCTTAAAAGAAATTTCTGTTTTTGTCGACCTCCGATCGACGGTTCGTGGGCGAATGCTTGACCCATCAGAGCCTCAAGATCCACATTATTGGGGCGGGCAGCTTACGCTGCCTGTCAGGTTTAGGGAAGCTGTTATGGCAGCAGTTGAGTCATGCGGTTTGGATCACATTGTCTTTGTAGAGATAGGGCCTCAGCGTACGCTTGTTAATCTTGCGAGCCGAATTCTCCTGAACCAAAAATCTCTAGACACAAAATACTTTGAGATGTCAGGGCCTAATCAAAGCTTGGAGTCCCATTCTGAACTTGAAATTCGCCTTCAGCAGATATGCAATTCAGCCGAAACGCATTCTGCATGCTCCTGGAACCACAAGTAAGACAACGCATATTGTCCTTTTCTCAAAATTCTTCATAGTAATCAAAGCAATATAGCTTGATAGACTTCCCTTTTACAAGGACTTCGTGCGGAACAAAATCATGCGACTTCGCAGTTTTTGCGGTGTTTGATTCTCTCAGGAGGTTCCCCTTTCCATTTGAATCGACCAAAAATACATACAATCGAGCTAGTGCTGATTCAGCCGTAGAGAAGGAGCTTCAAGCGTTCCCAGGGCCGCTCTGGAAAATGACATGGAGAGATGTGATTTCTCAGGAATCATGCAGCGCTCTTGCCGAGCGAGCACGGAACTGGTTGTTTTGTGGCGTCCCAAAAGAACATCTTTCTACTTTCCAAAGTCTCCTTGAATCTTTAAATATCAAAGATGCCGAAATCGCAGAAGCCTTCAGCATCCAACAAGTATCATCTCTTCCCCGTTTGCCCTCTGGACGCGTTGCAGAGGGAGTGATATTCGTGGGTGGCCTGTGGGGCTCTCATTCAAGCACAGCATGTCTTGATGATCTTAGGAACATACTCCTTGCATACATCAAGTCGGCAGAAGACGATGCATTCCTTTGCCCTCCCTTATGTGTGGTTACTAGGTGCAGCAACAGTGCTTTTGGAGTTCCCACTGATGTCGACTCCAGCAAGCATGGTACCGATTTCCACATAAGGCACGCAGGGCTACTGGGAATGTGTCGCACTTGTCGGCTCGAAGTTCAGAGGTTCTGCAAGAAGCCATTTACGCTGTTGTATGTAAATGTTGAAGAAGCATCTGTAGAATTTCTGGGAAGGGCTTGTGGCTGGATTGGGGCACAGTTTGAGTTATTGAGCCACAATTCCCCTGCTTTAGTCGAGGAAGATGTCATCATCACGAGCACGACTTACATGGTTCCCCGCCTAGTACAAGTCCCCACTAGCCAAGCACAAGATAGAGTACCACCTTCTGGAGCGAAAGCTTACCTAATTACTGGCGGTACTGGAGGATTGGGTCTAAGTGCTGCAGAGTGGCTACTGAAGCAAGGAGCAGGCTTAGTTGTCCTCCTATCGAGAACTGGGAAACCTGCCGGTGCACTATTGCAAACGGCGGCTTGGAGGGCTATAGAGGAAGGAATTCATGCAAAACGGGTTGAAATTATGCCTTGCGATGTGGCAAATTTTCAAGCTGTACACGGCATCCTCTCTAAAGTCCACCAAAATGTCCCCATTGGAGGAATATTTCACTGTGCTGGCATCGAGGGCGAGGCTAGCCTTCAAGACTCGAATCTGCAAAGCATCGAATACGTGTACCAACCTAAAGTGAGTGGAGCGTGGAACCTACACCTTGCTTGCCAGCAGTTAAACTTGGAAACTAGCCTTGATATGTTCGTTCTTTTTTCCTCTATATCAGCTCTGCCCGGAAATGACGCTCTGGCGACTTATGCTGCTGCCAATGCATTTTTGGATTCGATGGCATGTTGGCGCAAATCCCAAGGGCTCCAGGCTCAAAGCATTCAGTGGGGGCCCTGGAATGATGTTGGCATGGTCACAAGAAACAAAAAGCTTGAGAGGGTATTCGAGTCACGTGGAATTAAGCCGTTCATGCCTGCAGACGGTGTAAAAGTCATGGAACTGGCTCTGCGGATGAAAGAACCATGTTTATGCGCCTTGAATGTAAATTGGAAGAAATATTTACGAGCATTTGGCCAGTCAGTTCCACAAGCGTTCATAGAAATGGGGTTGGAGAAGATGGGTCCTTCTTCGGGCCACGAAATAGATAATCATTCGAGGGAATCCATTGAGTCCACAGTTCTTGAAGCCGCAAAGGCATTGGTTGGTGAAGAACGAAATATCAGCGCAGAGACACGCCTAGACGAGCTTGGGCTTGATTCCTTGGGGTCTGTTGAACTTCGAAATATTATTCAGGAAAAGCTCTCAACGAGCTTACCAGCCTCTCTGCTTCTGGAGTATGGAACTCTAGGTGAAGTTATTGAGTACATATCAGAATGCCTCCATAGCCAGCTGCCCACTAGTTCCATAAGTCGCCCATCAGCTGCAAGGCCGCTTCCCTCAGCGGAACTAGAAGGGTTTGCTGTAATCGGCATGGGGTGTCGGCTCCCAGGAAAGAGCAATTCACCTGAAGAGTTCTGGAGCATGTTGGTCGCTGGGACGGATTGTGTGCAAGATATTCCGTGGCAACGGTTCAACATTGAGCCTCTCTTTGATCCAGATCCTGAAGAAAACAAGTGCTATGTAAGGGAGGCTGCATTGCTGGATAACGCTCACCTGTTTGACAATGAGTTTTTCCGAATGAGTGAAAGCCAAGCGAGAAATATTGATCCTCAGCAGCGCGTATTACTGGAAGTGGCTTACGAGACATTTGTCGACGCAGAATATCGGCAAGAAGACGTCAAGGGCCAAGACATTGGAGTCTTTTGTGCAACTTACACAAATGAATATCAACTGTCTAGTCTAACCAAGGGGGAAAATGGTATTCTCGCAATCGGGGAAGGCTCAGACGGTGGCGTTCCCCGGTTGGGTGAAGCTTCCGGCTACCCTGAGCCTGGTGGACTGATGTGCCTAATTCCCAATAGAATATCGTACTCTCTTGGCCTAATTGGACCCAGCTTAGGAGTTGACACTGCATGCGCATCCGGTCTTGTGGCCTTGGACACGGCAATTATGAAGCTGAGACTCTCAGCGTGCTCAAAAGCGTTTGTTGGTGCGGTGAGCCTGATCCTGGTTCCCTGCTTTTTCCTAGGTGGCAGTAAGACGCGTCAATTTTCGAAGTCTGGGAGGTGTCGCACATTTGATGCTGCAGCAGATGGCCTTGTACGTGGTGAAGGGGCTGCTGGTATTCTCCTTGCACCTTTAGCGACTGCAAGGCGTGAGTCAAAGTTCGTGCATGCTGTTGTGCGAGGCTCGGCAATATCGCACTATGGGCAGGGTGCGCGTCTGACGGCTCCAAACAGCAGAGCCCTTACACGGGTTCTTAAGTTGGCGCTGGAGGATGGCAAAGTAGATCAGTCCATGGTCAGGTGCTACGAGGCACACGGCACGGCTACCGTTCTCGGGGACATTATAGAAATGAATGCGCTTAAACAAGTGTTTGAGGACAGACCAAAAGAGGCTCCGCTTATCGTAGGCAGCGCCCACAACAATATCGGGCACCTAGATTCTGCCGCAGCTCTCGTTGCGTTTATGAAAACCGTACTTACTTTGAAGCATCGCTATGTCCCACCGAACATCCAATTCAAGAAGATGCATCCAGATATTGGCGCTTTCGACAGAACCAGAATAATTTACACTCGTGAAGGCCAAACTATTCACACTTCCGATAACCAAACGAGGATTTTCGGAGCAAATCTTGCCTACGGTCTAGGTGGCACAGTGGTCGCGTCGATCACAGAAGAGGGTGACGATCCTACAATGGCACCAAAGGTAAGCTGCCATGGCGCCATCGTTGGTTGGTTCTACTAAGACAATTGTGAGTTCGATTAGTGTGGCGAAATTTTCATTTGTGGCTGCACTATGCTATTGAAGAAGCTGCATTATTGAGTGGCAGGAGAGTATCCGGACAGGGGTAAGAGCAGAGCACAGCTGTGCAGAGTCTGTCATGATTTTGGATGCTGATTCAGCAATTCGAGCTTCAAGTGCATACTGTGCTTGTGCGTTAGGTTACGCGCCATGTGTGGAAGCACAACTCGTTTCCACTCGATTCACAGAAGTTCGTCTTCTTACTGGGTGCAGCAGCGCTGCTGGCCCAAGATCGGAAGCAGACTCCTAGGGATGATGTTGCCTACCTGGTGGATCGCATTTGCAAGGATATGCTTAACAGGCATAATTTAGTATCATTGAAGCCATGCACACCTCCTAATATCGTGTCCGAGATATTTTTGACGGGAGCTACGGGCCTTACTGGAAGCCGAATTTTGTTTAGCTTGCTAGAGCAGAGGATCGATTGCGGAAAGGGAGCCCAAAGTCGATTTCCCCGCATCTACTGTCTGGTTCAAGCTCGCGACCGAATGCATGCGATGTATCGTATCATCGATGCTGCTGTGGGGAGGGGCCAGAAATGGAAAGCCCGCTTTTTTGAGCAAATCGTGCCGGTTGTTGGAGACTTGAAAGCTCCCAGGATGGGCCTATCCTCGAAAACATTTGAAACACTGGCTACTAGGGTTGAGGCGGTGTATCATGCTGCAAGGGTTGTAGACTTTGCGCAGCCGTATGAGAAGATCCGAAAAGCTAATGTCCTTTCGCTCCTGCCCCTAATAGAGCTATGCACCACAGGAATAGCTAAGCACTTCCACGTTTTATCAGACTTCGCGGCTCACATTCAGTACTTCGGAGCATTCGCTGGGGACCTAAACGTGTCTTTACCAGAGAAACTCTCCGTGCCTGACGACCTGGTAGGCAGAATGGAAAATCAAATGCCAGCGAGCATTATCGGTTATCCGTGGGCAAGATGGGCTGTAGAGGAGGTACTTTCGAAGTGTCAACAACGGCTGGACGAGCTAAAGAAGTCTGCAACAGGAAGTTCTCACGATATCGAGAACAAGTTCGCCTTCACAGTGTACAGAATACCAAACTCAGCAGTGTACTTCAACAATGGTAGAATCGAGTTCTCAAATTCTTTCTTTGCAATTTCAATGGCTGCATTGCAAGAGGGTATCGTTCCCCCAGGCGTTTTGCCAGTAGGGCCCCCCTTTTTAACTACTCCCATTGATATATCAGCAGACATTTTAGTTGACATTTCAAGGTGTCCTGAACGCCCCACCGTCATCCACATCGTCAACCCCACTGGAGTTCGACGGTCAGCGATTATTCAAGCACTCCAAAGCTTTGGCATTCCATTCCGGGAGTCATGCGAGGATGAACTTCTTCGGGGAATCGAGAAGAATCAAAACGGCTCCTGCGCTTACTCGCTGCTCCCTGTAATGCGCGTAAGTTAACCTTTGTATAATGGAAGGGTGCAATAAGGTTATATGTGGTTCGCGAAATAATATTTCTGGCTTGCGTGACTCCACAACTGTTCGATATTGCTATTGTTCGATTTTTCAGTTCTGGAGACGCTACTGGTTTTCTGAAGACCTGGATAGGGAGGCCTTTCCAATTGAGACGGCAAACTTGGAAGCCTGCCTTCCCAATGCTTTGAAACGATTCCCGAGCGCCAGGGAAACTTGGACAAGGATGCTAGCCTACTGGTAAGGTGGCTACATGCAGGTACTATAGAAAAGATGCCTTCAGATGCAGATACATTTGCGTGTAGACATTTTCTTTGGCGGCACTTAAAATCTAGGCATTCAGGGGTATTTTCGGAACTTGAACAATGAGTTTGCTAGATGTCGAAAGTGCATATCATACATAGCCTTTCCGAATGAATCTTTGCTAAAACTGTAAAGAAACATAAGCTGAAAAACAATCTGCATTAATGGGGGCGATCTTCCACAGTACATTCGTTTGAAAGCCTTGACGCTCGCGATGTGATATTGTTTCAGCTTGGCGAATTACCATCTCGTTAGGGACCCCTATGACGCCATCTTGCCTAATGAATTCCTTCGTATTGTTGGAGCCTCCATTCTTTCCGCAGCGTCATTTAAAGAGCTTTCTAGCTGCACTCAGGAGATGCTAAAGTCTGCACTCCATGGCAAAGGAAATGATGAAATTGAGCATGCTCTAGATTGGGAGAAGGCGCAGTTCTTATCCGGCCTATCTTCTAAATTTCTTCCTATATCGGAATGAAGCTTTCTACTGATCTAATTTGAATTGCAGAAAACTAGCATCTATGTCACGGAAAAACGTTATTTCCACAAGTCTGCAAACGCTTCACGACTTCAGCGCCCCCTTTGCAGCACGGTGGCGTAGTTTCTTCGGCCTTATTTGATGTTCAATGCGCTTTACCAATTGAACTCATGCAAGTTTTAGTAAGCTCATGAACTCGGCGTGGACTGGGAGGTGCATCTAGCACAATTTTCAGAATAAAAAGTTGCAAGGTCAGCGTGCCTTTTACCACAACTCGGCACGTCCTTCGCGTTTGATGGATACGCTGCCCGTTATGTGCCGAGCACTTTCTACATAGAAAATACTTTCAGGGAGCAGAGGATACGAAGAATACAGGAGAGCTCTTCAGACTGACAGGTCAAGAAGCACGGACTTTTGCAGCTTGCTTGGCCAGCTCCTTCAGTGCCTTTGATGCTGCCAGTAATCGTATCCTTACCAAAACTTGAAAAAAAAGCGAACAGTACTGTCTCCTGCCCTCGCTTCCGCATGGGGCATTCGGCTATCCCATGTCGTGTATATTGAAAGCCACCCTACATGAATGCCAGAGACATATTGCTGGAAGCTGCAAACTAGCATCTAAGTGCCCTCGTTGTCATCTGTGAATCGTCATTGTCGTGGTCGTGAGGCCGCACACCGACTTGTGAGCTTGCTGGGTGTTCCGTACTCTCCGCTGCTACGGCAGCTTCAAAATAAGTCCAAAACGAGTATGACATCATCGCTAATATTCATTACAGCGCACAAGCTGGGAAAAACCAGAAATTTTCTGCGATGCCCGTACCTACATTAGGGAGAGTTAACAAACTGAAACAGCGAAGGGCGAAGCAGCCTGCTAAGGCTTGGGATACAGCTTCTCTTGTATACACGCCATATAGTCGTCATAACAGGTTCCTAAAACGCCATAACCTATTGCTTCAAATTCAACCCTTAGTCAGGCGTGACCTTCCGCTGTGGCAGGGAAGGATGTCACTGACTTTATACCCAGAGCCCTTCTTCAACTTCGTCACAAAATTGAGCTCACGAACGGGAACTGTTTGGACCCGGATTTAAATGCAGTCTGTGTTGGGCCTTTTTCATAAACTGCTCTTTCTAGGAACATGCGGCTTCCAAACAAGCACGATACATACACAGTCAGCAAGCACCTGTTGTACTATTGCTCTTCCCTTGTATCACTTGAGCCAAATTCTTGCTGCATGCTTGTTTCATTGTCAGTGGACGAAAATGATTTGCTTCTTTCTCGATATCACATTAATTAGACCAATGCCAGGCGAATGTTAAAGGCCCGGCATAGGTATACTTCACAAGGTCCAGTATTCCGAGTTTGTTTGTGGGCAACTACGCTGCAATCTCTAAGGAAACGCAACCCTATCCACTATTCATATTTGAAGCTTCTCATGCGAAGGTTTGCACGATACCAATTACAAGCCATGCAGTTTTCGTTTCAAAAGAGCTTTCAGCGGTAGCTGGACAGCACCACAGTGGCCTTCGTCTTGCACAAAAAGCGCGGACCAACAGGCCCTGTACGTTTAGTGTATTAAACAAACGTTTCTTTTCTGAATTGCTTAAATACACTGGAAGGGAATGGACCACGGTCATTAAGCCATTCGCTCCCTCAGTCCTCATTGGACATGCTAGACAATGCCGAGCTGAGACTGGTTTTTGCTTTGTCGGCCAAGTATAGGCTTCAAAGCATTACGCCCGCTATCGCCTGCCTCCCAGGTGCCTCTAGGCAGAAGACGGTTGAATTTTCATAGCAGCTTTCTACAAGGATTAGATTGGGTACATCTGGACGAGCGCTGTAGCCAACACAGCAATTGAACAACGTAAACCTGGAGGTTATGCTGCGACAAAACCGCTACCTTTTTCAGGGGGCACGAAGGAGCCATCAGCCACTTGGATGACCTCACTTCTGTCATATGCAGAGGCTTGTGCTCAAGTACAGGCGTGCTTGAAGACACTGCCCACCAGCATAAAATCCGATCAATATGGGTGAGGTGACTCCCGTGGAACAGATAGTTGTCCGTTGCCTAACACGAAATGGAATACTAGCATGGACCACACACTGCGTTGTTTCAGGTGGGTTAGATCTCTAGCCAGTGCTTGCTCATTATTTGTTCTTTCCACCTGGCGTGAAGCTGTGCATGAGGTGACAACGGAAATATTCCATGATGGCGGGCAACAACAAATGCACTTGTTTGGCTTTGAGTGTCAAATAGAACATCTTCAGCTTGCTTCAATCTTGGAGGAAATTCCCGATGGAATCTCGCTGCAGTGTACTGCGCTGTGCCCACACCCGTAGCTTCACAATGGCCTGCTACGGGTTGTGGGTACAGCCTAGAACAGCACTCCAACGCCCTGATGCAGCCCAACACGCTCTTAACGCCGCGTAGAAGACATGCGACAAAAGCTGCATCGTACAAGACCTTTGAATGGATGGAATAAGGAAAACATAGCCAAGGTTGGCCACAAAGGAGCTCGGTAGAAGGTAAGGCAGGAGGGGTGGTGTTCTGGGTCGGTCGGGGGCGCCGCAGACTCCTGCGCGGCGGAAGTTACAAGCTTGAAAGAAGTAGTAGCTCTTTAGAAATTTCAAATGAATGTTGTTACGGCGGCATGCTGCTGCAAAGTCGATTCTTTGAGGGCTTTTGTCGTTGCTGTCGCCGAAAGTTAACACTGCAGGGGGCCGAGTGGGCACTGTTTAATCCGTTGTCGCGCACGCGTTTCCTTCTTTCTGTTTATTTCAGCATACAGAGTAGCAATATTTTGGTTTCTTTCACCTACACCGATCCAGGTACACCAGGGCCCTCATTACGGGTCTGCTTATCGCTACCTAGGGTGCAGGTAACCAACTGACCGATTCCGTAGTCGTACTGTCTGTCTCTCTTTGGCGCCAGTTTCTCTCCTTTTGGAGCCTTCTGTGGCCAGCAGCAGCCGTTTGGAGCCTGCTGCAGTCTGCTGCAGCCCGCTGTGCCCCTCTGCTCCCCCCACAGTTCGTTGCAGCTTGCTGCAGCCTGTTGCGGTTTGCTGCTGCTTGCTTCAGCGCGTTTTTGCCTGCTGCAGCGTGCTTCACTTCGCCAGGGTCAGCCACAGCTTTTGCTGCGGGACAATTCCCTCCAAACCCGAAACCAGGCTGGCCTATGCGCGAGGCCGGAGGGACCCCCAGCCGCGGACTCAGTGCTCTTTCTAGCAGCTTGGCTCCCTCTGTACAACTTGCTAGTCAAGACTTGTGCTGCTCTAATGTTCCTGGCTCTTGTTCAGAACTTGGCAGGGCCCCGGCGATGCGCAGGCCGCAGTGGGCTTGCCCAGTCCACGGAAGCAGCCCGCTGCCTGCAGTAGCAGCAGCAGCAGCAGCAGCAACGGGAGCAGCAGCAGCAGCTTCCCCACCTGAAGAAGACCCCGACACAACTGCTGCACTCGCAAGGGCATGTTGCTGCTCGCAGCCATTTGAACAAGGCCAGCTGCATGCGCAGCTGGAGCGTGGAGTGCAGCAGCAGCTGCAGCAGCGGCAGCAACAGCACATGTCGGACTCCGCAGAAGTGCACTGTGGTGCCACGAATGTCTGCTGCACTTGCAGCCAGACTCAAAGCAGCAGCGCCGGCTGCGCCGCTGCTGCTGCTGCTGCTGCTGCTGCTGCTGCTGGGCCGCAGCACAAGAGGCCTCTGAGCAGCTGCACCGGGCTGCATGCAAGATGCCGCCTCCCCCACAGAAGCTGGGGCCGAAGCAAAAGCAGCAGCAGCGGCACGATTGCCAGAAGCAGCAGATCTGCAGCAGCTAAGGACTCTGCTGCTGCAGTGCAGCACGGGACAGCACGCAGAAGAGCAGCAAGTGCAGCGTGTGCAGCACCCTTGCGGCCAGCTGCTGCAGCAGTGCCCCCACCTGCTGATGGCAGCAGCAGCTGCTGCGTGGACTGCTGCTCTGCTTCTACACCGGGGCAGTCTGTTGCTGCTGCTCCTTTAGAGCTGCCCGGAGAGCCCCCAGTATCTACCGAGGAGGCAGCTGCTGAAGCAGCAGCAGCAGCAACAGCAGCAGCAACAGCCGCAGCACCTTTGTCAGCAGCCGCATCACTTGCACAAGCCGCACCTGCAGCAGTGGCAACAGCATCGGAACCGGCAGCAGCAGTAACAGCACAAGCAGCAGCAGCAGCAGCAGCAGCAGCAGCACCCACGGCACAGCAGCCGGACGCTGCTCCACAGACTGCCAGTTTTGTGTCTTTTGCACAAAGGCCTGAAGTCGAAGCCCGGCGAACGCCTGCAGCAGCAGCAGCAGCAGCAGCAGCAACTGCTGCGGCGCTGAGAGAAGACGGGCAACGGCAAGCCTTGGGGGGTTGGCAGGTGCCTCTGAGCCTTCCTGTGCCGCTGTTTCTGGCTCCTGTGTCGTACACGAAGCGTGTGAAGGCAGCAGCTGTTGCTGCTGCTGCTGCTGCTGCGGAAGCTGCAGCAGCTTTTGCTGCAGGGGCCTCGGAGTCGGCGGCAGCAGCTGCGGCAGCTGCTGCAGCGGCAGCAGCCAGGGGATCCAGAAGCAAACGATTTCATTTGGAGGATGCGGTGTTGCTGCTGCAGTTGGCATTTGACCTGCAGCAACACTCCGTGCTGCTGCCGACGCTGCACGTCGTGGGCTCGGATGGGATGCCCGCAGGTCTGAAGCCCTGTGGGGCCCTTCTGTGCAGCGGCCGCAGCCGCAACAGCAGCAGCAGCAGCAGCAGCAGCAGCAGCAACAGACGCGCCAGTCGCTTCAGCTGCGGTGCGCGAACGCTCTCTGCTGCTTCTGCTGCTGCAGCAGAACGCATGAGGCTCCAACAGACCGTAGAGGCCATTGAGCCTGGCTGCACTGAAGTGCTGCTGCCGCACTTGCCTGTCATTACACCTGAAGAGCTGCAGCAGCTGCATGCAGCAGCAATTCGCCTCTATGGTGAAGGGATGGTCCCGTCCTTTTGGCAGCAGCAGCTTTTTTTGAATCAACAGCAGCTG